GCGATCTCTGTTGAAATACCTAAGATGTTGGATAATTATTTGTGATTGGTTAATTGTGATAGAAACCCTGCCGTGGTTGTAGTTAATGAATTGTAGGGGACTGGTTTGAAACATGTGTTGATAAATAGTTATTTTTATTATCCTAAAATGGAAACATTCCTTAGATGATTTTTTGCTGTATTCATATACAGGGTGTTCAGTAAGTCAGGAAACGGGTTTCTATTGTTCTTATTGTTTGTAACAATATTTAGTACATGTGTTCATAATTATACTACAAAAGGGAAGTTTTTATACGCGCAAATTGAAAACTGCTCCTCTAAAATAACTAAAATACTACCATATACATATAAGTATTATTAACCTTCTAAATGTAATCGTGCTTAGACTATTACATGAATTTATTAACAGTCCTCTGCATTATGAGTGTTGTATACTAACCGTCAGCAATAACATGTATGTTGGTTAAACTATACATGAAACTGTTACGTCGCTATTTAGGGGTTGAGCCTAAATGCCCGTCGACAGTATTCTAAGGGACCAACGGGGGATAGCTGGCTAGGCTATATCTACCTTAGGTACTGAAGTTTCCTATTTAATTTATATTCCCTTAGAGGAACTACCAAGGGTCGCACTATAATATATATATATATATATATATATATATATATATATATAACACTTTAGGTTAACAACGATATAAATAAATATTTATTAAGCTATTGAAATATTAAATAGATGATACAACCTGCTGGACACCTAGAGATGATATAATCCAACAGGGAGCTGACGGCGACACACACACTCTCTAATAGAGACTTAACCTTTCGACTCTATATAAGGGGTCGAAAGGTTAAGTTAATTATCAGACAAAAGTAGTGATCGCGAAGATGGTAAAATGTCAACTGTCGATAGGGATACCTTATTATGGCACATTGGCCGTGAATTGCAAAAAGTGTTTATGTGTGCAGTCCGCCCTCCTGTTAGTATTGTTTTATGTCACTGTGTTAATTATATACATATATTTATATATATGAATATTAAACGGTACAATGATGTTATGGGAGACAGAGATATGGGCACATGCAAATGTGATCGTATCAAAACTAATATAAACGTGTTAAAAATGATTAACATAATACGTTATTGTTAATATTATAAAAATTGTGGAACATTTTTCTTCAAAATTTTATGTTGAAGTACCAAGAATAATATACATATGAGCTATTCCTAAAGTCACATCGGATTACTTTTATTAATAAAGCTTCACTTTCATTAATTAGATTAACATTAACACGTTTTACTGAAGTTTATTATATGAATTATTGAGTTGTTTTATTTGATTACTGCTACTGTTAGTGAGTAATATTTTAGCTTCGATGCGAACATGAGAAAGTATTAATTTTACCATGATGTGTTTTTTTTTTTTTTCGTGTCTGTTACCACTTTTTCTCAGCTCTCACCGAACGGATTTCTTTCAACGATACGTCAAAAGATCACAAATCGTATCTAGTTGAAGACATTACTCTCAAAAATCAACTCGACTTTTGAAAATATTCCAGAAAGTCTTACACTTTTATATATATCTTAAATTAAAGCTAATGTAATATACTTTATCATGAAAACAAAAAAAATTTCGGACTTTATTTTATCTTCGCTAACTTTTTGAAAAATGTATGGATCAATAAAATTTTTTCATTAGAAGTAGTATTTATATTCATCTTTTATTTGACTTACTGTTTTTTTAATCGGATCATTTCCCTATATACGAGGGGGGTTCAAATCTAAAAAATGCATGTAGAAAGTAGAACTTTTTCAATTTAACTTTTGAAAGTGTTCTGGAAAGTCTGACACTCTTATATATATCTTAAATTAAAGCTAATAAAATATACTTTATTATGGTAAAAAAAAAATTCGGACTTTAATTTATCTTTATAGTGAAAACAGACATCAAAGTTAATAAGAAAAATACGATTTTTGTAAAAAAATTCTTTTTTATATTTTTAACTTTATAATGCTATAACTTTTTGAAAGATGTAAGGATCAATATAGTTCTTTTTTTTATAGATGCATGATGTTTTTACCTATCATTTGGTTTATTTTTTTTATAAATCTGACTTTTAACCTGCCTATAGGAGGGTATTCAAAATGACAACTTTTTCACAACAAATTTACTTTTTCAACTTAAATTTTAAAGTGTTCCGGAAAGTCTGACACTTTTATATATATCTTAAATTAATGCTAATAAAATATACTTTATTATGGTAAAAAAAAATGTCGAACTTTATTTTGTCTTCACGGTGAAAATAGCTATCAAATGTTATTTTTGTGTGAAAATTCTCGATTTTATTTTTTACATTTTTAACTTTATAATGCTATGACATATTGAAAAATGTATGGATCAACATTATTTTTTTATGAAAAAATATATTTTTTAATAATTACTTTTTCATTTGACATACTTTATCTTAATCAGGATATTAATAAGGAACTAGCATATCATGTAGCTATTGGAATAATACACAATTTTTTTAAAATTAAACACTATCTAAAGTTTTGCATCGAAGTGTTTTTTTTTTTATGGTGATTTTAATCACTGTCAAATATCATTATACATAATCCAAGTATGCCACGTTACCACTGTGCCGCGACTCCCCTGTGTTTAGTAAATTTATATCATATTACTAAACTCATTATTGCAATTTATGTCCTTTTGAAACAGATTTTTGTTGTTATGATGGTGGCAATTAATAAATAAAAAAAACCTATCACAGGGGGGTCGCAGCACAGTGGTGACGTGGCATAGTTGGATCAAGTATAATGATATCTGACAGTGATTAAAATCACTATAAAAAAAAAAACGCTTCGATGCAAATCTTTAGATAGTGTTTAATTTTAAAAAATTGGTGGATTATTCCAAAAGCTTCATAAACTGCTAGTTCCTTATTAATATCCTGATTAAGATAAAGTATGCCGAATGAAAAAGGGATTATTAAAAAATAGTATTTCCCATAAAAAAATTATATTGATCAATACACTTTTCAATAAGTTATAAAGTTAAAAATGTAAAAAATAAAATTGAGAATTTTCACACAATAATAGCATTTGGTAGCCATTTTTACCGTGAAGACAAAATAAAGTCCGAAATTTTTTTTTTTCATAATAAATTATATTACATTAGCTTTAATTTAAGATATATATATATAAAAGTGTTAGACTTTCTGGAACATTTTCAAAAGTCAAGTTGAAAAAATTAATTTTTTGTATAAAATTTGTCATTTTGAATCCCCTCCTGTAGGCAGGTAAAAAGTCAGATTTATAAAAAAATATACCAAATGATAAGTAAAGATATCAAGCATCTATGTAAAAAAAAATATGGATATGTTTTTTTTTGAAAAAGTTACGGCAGTTTTTGGTAAAAAAAATTTAAAAAATTTCGAAAATTAGCGATTTTTAAATTTGTAATTTTTTTGGAGGTTTCCCCCATTTACGGGGAACGATGGAAATTTTTTCAATTTTTGAGGGTAATGTCTTCGAATAGATACGATTTGTGATCTTTTGAAAATTAAAGTATTTTAACCTTTAATGAATCAAAAAAATAATTTGTTTTAATAAATTATTGTAGAGTTTTATGAACTATTTTACTATTAACAAAAATTAAAAAAACTCAATATTGTCTGAGAAATTGAGTATCTAACTAGATTTCGATCACTCTGTATATATTTAGAGTGACTTATTAAGTATACTACCACTCATTTTTTAGTAAAATAATGATTTTTATATAAAAATGTATAGATTAAAATGTAATTAATTATTCTAAACTATTGTGAATATCTAATTTATTGCAAGAGAAAATTATTCCTGTATGAAAATTATAGGGGTAACTTTCGATAGTTAAATGGGAACCTATTATTACTTTTTTCTATTAAATGAAAAATGGTCTTAATAAAATATCGACTGGTCGATAAACAGTTTTGTACTATTAATTTTTGAGTTAATATAATTAGTTATAAGAGAGAGGTTTTAAATTTTTATTTAAATAATTATTACCTTAGACTACACTTAAAGCTTATATTTTATTATTTGTTACTAACAAAAAAAGCATTAAAATAAAAATGTTTACTTATTAAACATTTTGAAAAATCATTTTTTATGCTTTTCCTTTAAAACATTTTGATGAGCCTATAACAATTTCAGGAGTACTTTTTATGTTAGAAACATTTTAGCACATAGAGTGGATATGAAAGCGGACGGAATATATGTACACTAATACGCTTTACAATAACAGTAGAATGGTTCATTGAAAAACAAAAATTACAGGACACATATTTTGTTGAAATTTTTTTTTCTATCGTATCATTTAACTAAAAATTGGAGTTCCCATTAAAAACAATTAAAGTTTAAGTTTTAACACTGAAGTGATGAAAAAAACGTATTTAACTACATATTATGGTAGAAGTTCTTATTTAATTCATTTTTTCCTTTACAAAAATTTTCAGCAGTTTTTGAGAAAATGAGTGCCTTATCCTTATTTAATCACTCTGTAGATATTAATTGAAAAAGTTCAGAGTTATCTTCGAGGGGTACTCGCAGGATAATAATAGATTTAATAATAGTATATGGATTTTTTACGAGAACATTATTGGGCACATCAATAATAAAAAACGGTAGCACAGTGGGGTCGAGGCACAGTGTGGACGAGGCATAGATGGGACAAGTATAGATGATATCTGAC